TACATTTTGATATATATAGCAGAGAACAGTCTTTAGAAAAGGGTGGCCATACTATAGCGGGTGCCGCACTATACTATAGACTATAGTCATGTCCATGTTCTAACTTGACATAACAAGACAAGACTCTTATTCTCTTTAGACTCTAAAAATTAAAAAGACAGGAAGATTTTTAAAAAGGGACGGGGCCATCCCTGAATTTGAAACTTCAAATAAATGTACAGACTCCAACAATGCTCAATAAAAACGACAATAAACAATGTAAACAAATGGATCAGGGTACAACCCGGATCCCGATCAGAGACAAGAGATGAAAAATCTTGATCTTGACAGGTTTCGATTTTACATCATTTCTTCTCTCTCTCTCTCTCTCTTTCTTTGCCTACCTTTCTAGATGGATAGATCTAGAAGCTAGATCTAGATCTAGATCTAGATCTACTGAGTACAAAAGTAGGCCTACAAGTTCCTTACCTCATCAACACCAAGCCTGACAGATCGCCTAGACTATGTAATCGACATGACTAGACAATCCACAAAAGATATCAGTCGATATTTCTCAATTCCACGATCCAGTAAACTGTTTTCTTCAAAATCATTGTTTCATAATCCTGCTGGTCAGTCACGGTACAGTGTTTTACTACTAGTGTTTACGGGGCGGTCTCTGCTCCGTGTACAATGTACACACACACTATCGCCCGACCCCGATCAAACCGTTCCAGTTTTTCCTTCTCTTTTTTTCTTGTTTTCGTCCAATTTGGACCCAGAAGACTAATACGCCAGGATTTCTGTATGGGAAAACTGTGTCATGTGCATGCTAAATTGTCTAACAGTGTTACGAAAAAACCCGCTAAATTATGACTTGGCGAGGAACAAGACATTTTCTGTTTTGTTGGTGAGTTTATTTCAGCGCGCTACCGTAAAAGAATTCCATAATGTAACATGACTGTCTGCCAACATATAAATCTATTAAATCTAGATCTAGATTTATGTTACACGAAGAAGAAGCTATGCGAGACCACTAGAGATCTGTAAATATTTTTACTGAATTTTGGCCATTTTGTAAAGTCCGCTAGCTTCTACAATAAGAGTTCAAATAAGAGTCCAGCTGATACTTTGAGTTTGAGGGCGATTGAGAACAGATATTCTACATCGTGCCTCATCAAAATACCAAAATATTCTAAACAAAAACATACCCGTTATTAAATAGAAATATAAAGGTCAACCTGGCACGGAAGAACACTCCCTCTCCCTTTCTCTCTCCCTCTCTCTCACTCCGACGGACTTTCCTCAACACTAGTTACAGAAAACAAGCGGCTCCATGGGTAACAAAGCATTGCGTGCTTATCAACCCCAAGATCTGTCCTTCCGTTCATTTTGTCAGTAAACACATTAGCGCGGTTCAGCACTTCCAAGCGTGTCTCTTTATTTCGGACTGGCAATAAGCACCAAAAACAATGCAACTGCATGCAAATTGACCAATAATAATATTTAAATCATGCCGTTCTCGTTTGGCGCAACTTCAGCCTATTGGGGTAGATACAATTATAGCAGTAGCCTACGAATTCACCGAACACCCCGTCATCATCATCATCATCATCATCATCATCATCATCATCATCATCATCATCATC